AATAGGTTAATTCCCTTACTGATTCCTTCCAAGATATGTATTTCTATAGACTTGGTTAGTAGTCTTTACCTCTATATCGTAGATAAAGTTTAAATTGCATATACGGTAATTACCAATATTCCCTTCCACTTGTCCATCGTTTTCTCTAAACATCTGTTACATCTTATATCACCTCAGTCAAAGTTGCTGTGGTATCACACTGTTCAGATAATATCCATCACTTTCTTAGTCACCTTGAATATGAAGTTATCTTTATTAAAAATGAAGGGTTCTGTAATTGGAACGAAAAGAAATTGTTTAGCCTAACTATTGCTATCTCACTTCTGTAATTAGCATTTGCGTCAAGGACAAATTTCATGCAAGTATGGGAAACATGTACATGGATGGATGTACTGAAGGAGGGAATAAGGGAGTGTGCAGGAATGATTGACATCTTCCTTATGATGTAATGGCTCTGTTGTCTGATTTTCATTGGCTAACAAAGTTTACAAAGCAATGCTACTAACTTTCTAAGGTGTGGCACTTCTGGACGTAACTCTGCCAGGCTTCCAGATTGTTTGCCACCCAGCTGTTTTATTTGATCAATTAAAGCACCATTTCCTCCGTTTAGGATTAGACTTTTAATGGTATCTCAAATTTAAATTAAGGGCCAGGAACCTTACAAAAATTAAAAAAAAAATAGATTATTTACAACACTGAAACCTTATTTGGCATTTCATCTCAGGTTATATCTAGATAAACATAAAATGGAGTATGTTAATGGCTGCAACTTTAAAAGGTATCAAAGGGCATTGGACAAAAACAAACCTAAAAACCTACAAAGACCTTGCTTTGTGCAGCCATTGGTGTGCAGAGAAGCCCTTTCCCGTTTATATTGAATGATTATTGCTTTTACAATTTTCTCAGCTGCTATGCATTTTATATTTTTTGTATATGTTGTCACTATCACCTTTTAATGTTGTTAGCCATTTAGGATCATATATTTTAGAGGGGCAATCATAAAAATCTATGAAATAAATAATTGCATAAAATAGTTCCAGTATCAAAAGAAGTTCTCCTATGACTAACTCTGCACTAGCAAGCATGAGCTTGTGGCACATTGTGGAAATGGAATCCAAAGTGTGGTTCTTATAGGGAGAATCCTATGTTGCTCAATCCTATGTGGCTAATTAATTAACATCATTCAGAAAGATATAACCCATCTTTTTAAAAAATCAGTATTCTATACAGGAGAAGTATTTCTTCTTCCCATCCTTTGAAAGCAGGCTGATGGGTGAGAGAGCTGTAAGATTGTCTATGTCTTCCATGATGCAGCAGAACAGTGTCTCTCGGCCAGGGCAGATTGAAGATGTGTGTACAGTAGTGGCCAAAATTGTGGATTTTTTTTGGAAAAAGTGTACATTTGAGGTTTGATGGCTAATAACACCACTTGTTTTGGAGTAGTACCATAAAATTATATATCAATGGAAAGATAATTTAATCAAGAATGTAATGCAACAAAGTTTGTTCAATTATCTGTATTCTATGAAAAGGTATAACCAAATAACCAGAAAAAGGAAGCACAACTTGCTTAAGTTGATATCAGGTAGCTTTCCTTCATCTGATTGTAGCCAATGAGCATGAGTATTTAGAGAGCCAATCAGGTGTCATCTTGTTTTGGCAATGAGCCAATCAGAGCACAGTAGGATTCAGTTATTGATGTCATGTATTGAAGCTGAGAGGAGGACATTTGTCAGTGTGTTATGTGATCGCTATCAAATTGGTTGGAGGTTTTTGTGTTCTTTCATTTAATGAGCTTGTAAAACGTAATAAAATTAAAGTTGACTGGTCGCCCAGAAAGCAATGTAAAATAGTATTATTAAGTGAACAAGGCTACAGTTATAAAGAAATTAGAGGAAAAATGGCTGGAAACTTAACCAAAGGTGGCATTTCTAAGTTTTTAAAGAGGTATAAGGAGACTCAGTCACTACAAAACCACACTGGTAAAGGCAGGGAAAGGTGCACAACAGCAAGTGATGATAGAAGAATTAAGAGACTGCCTATGTGACAGAAGAAAATCATCTGGGTGTATACAAGATGAAATGGCGCTATGCAGTGTGAAGTTGAATGCAAAGACTGTTCGGCGCAGACTGCAGCAATTTGGCCTAAAATCTAGAATTCCATGAAAAAAGCCACTTTTATCTCTCAAACAAAAGTTGAAAAGACTGAACTGGGCTAAAACCCATGTTACCTGGACAGAGGAACAATGGGACAGTGTTATTTGGAGTGATGAGACCAAGATCTCCCTGTTTGGTAGTCATGGCATAAAATACGTAAGGAGAAGAATCGGAGAAGATTTGCATCCTGATTGCATTACATGTACCGTGAAACACCCAGTCAGTATTATGATCTGGGGTTGTATGACATCAAAAGGTGTGGGCAGAATTTGTGTGATTAATGGAATATAAATGGCCAAAAATACATTAATGAAATACTTGAGCCCAAACTGAAGCCTTCCGCACATGATATTTTCCAAGACAATGAAGCATTTATATTTCAACAGGATTCAGCTCCATGTCATGTTATTGCTGTGTGCAAAAAGTGGTTTCAAAATAATCATATTCCACTGCTGAAATGGCCTGGGAATAACCCAGACCTTAACCCAGTTGAAAATCTATGGAGCCGACTAAAGAAATGTGTTAGTCAGAAGCGACCCAGCAATAAAACCCAATTAATAGAAGCAATCATTTAATTTTGGTTTCACATTATAACAGCTGCAGAACTAAAGGACTTGGTTCACTCCATGGGAAGACGGCGTAAGACCATAATTCATGCTAAAGGTTACCCAACTAAGTATTAACTGACATGGTGATAATTTTTGTATATCTCATTTTTTCTATGGTGATCATTTTTGTATGTCTCCTTTTTTCTACGTGTTTCACTTTTCTTCTTTATAACTGCTATTCTAATAGAAAATCCTTCATAAAAGTTATTGCATTACATTATTAAATTATCTTTCCATTGATATATAATTTTATGGTACTATTAAAAAAAGTGGTGTTATTAGCCATCAAACCTCAAATATACACTTTTCCCAAAAGGTTTCCACAATTTTGGCCACTACTGTACTTCAACTCCCAAAATTGAAATCCGAACTTCTTCAGATTGCAAAAGGCTAGAAAAACTAGAGACAAGATTCAAAATAAATCTTAGCTGGGCATGAAGTTCCCTGAATGGCCTTGTTAGTCAGGTTGTATGTTCTATCTCATATGCATCTCTTAACAACAACAATAACAACAAAAGATTAGGGCACAGCCAAAGATTCCCTTGCCTCCTTATGGAAAAAAGTTGAAAATTAATATAACATTATTTTAGGATGTCTAAAATACCCTTCAATTACATATTCCACATACTTCCAAACTCAATTAACGGAAGACATCTTTTCTCTTGTGCCATATCAGCCTTTGCATTTAATCAGCAAATCTCATCTATAGACATCTTCAATTCGATTTATTATTTTATCTTCCTGATGGTGATTTTTTTAAAAAAAAATTCCCTGAGTGCTTCTAGCTGATTGCAGCTTTGACCATTGCAATAGCGACTCAGTTCCTAAGGGGCAATCGGTGGGTGATGGTGGGGGGACTAATCCTAGGGATACAGCGCAGATGGTTTGCATGCATCCTTGGCTGCAGCCGTGTACGAGGGTTGCAGACTCCAGGCTCTCAGTCTAGCCTCTTTTCACGGAAGACCGAGGAATGAAAGTTTGTAGAAACTGCAATTTAGCAGCGGAGAACGATGGGCGCATGCGCAGACCAGTAAGGCAAACTTCAAGAGGAACTTTTCTGAAGAAGGTGGAGAGCGTTTCGGGCTGAGTAGATAGACATTTTTTCTACGCTAGTGGATGTGGGTTAAATCTATTCTCCTGGGAAGAGTGATGACTTGGGGATCGTAGTCAATCCTGAAACGGAGTTCTTTATCCCAAAGTAGGGAGGGGAGAGGCAAAGGGTGGGAGAAGAGATTCGGGCCGGGAGAGGCAATGAATGAGCCGCGGGAGAAGAAGCTAGAAATGCAGGTTTCACCCTGTCTGCTCTTCCCTAGAAATCCCGCCGGACTCATTTCGGTTTGCCTCTTTTTAGAGGTTGCGTTTAAAGTTGAATTTCAGTTTCAGACTGAAACTGAGAACTTAGGGATCTGAAAATCAGAATCGAAAGATTTGATAAAAAAAGAAACACCAGTTCCGGGTATTGTAAGTGTGATTTATTGCTGCCGTTTTGAAAGAGTAGGAATTATGGTGACAAGGTTGAATTGTAAAGGAGATTTTTAAGAAATAGATGAAGGAGGCAAAAGAAGAGATGTATTGGCTAGAGCAGTGTTTCTCAACCTTGGCAATTTTAAGATACAGGGATGTGGATGGACTTAACTCCCAGAATTCCCCAGCTAGTATGCTGGTTGGGGAATTCTGGGGATTGAAGTCCACATATCTTAAAGTTGCCAAGGTTGAGAAACACAGGATTAGATGGTTGGACTGGAGAGGCCTAGGTCCAGATCTCCCATTTGATCACAAAACTGACTGATATGAAAGCTGTGAAGATAAAATCAAACAAAATTATGTTTCCTGCCTTGGTAAAAATACAGGAAATAAATAAAAATCCTAAAAGAAGAATATATGTGGAGCAAGGAAGGAGGTTTTTTCCCCCCTACCAACTCTATTGAAAGTGATTTAAGTGTTGTTACCTGAGTATGTGTGTTTGTTTTTGTTTTGCACAACAATGATTATAGCATGATTTGATTCTGGATCCCACAGGATGGAAGAATAGATATGTTTGACTTCAGGCAGGCACCTGAATAAGGTTCTTGCAAATTCAGGAGAGAACTCGGGAACATGGCTGGTGTGTTAAGGACTGTCCAGGGAAAGAGTGAGAAAACAGGGGCAAGGGATGATGAAAAAAGGCAACCGGCAAAACAAAAGGCTAATACAGTATTTTCTGCGGGTTTATTTCCTTTTTTCTTTCAGAGGTGATGATAGTTTCGAAGAAGAAAGGAGTCTGCTCTGCTTTGAAGTGCATAGTTCTAAGCTCATGGCTGGCAGTCCAGTGCCCCCTAGGAAGAAAGTGGTTGAAGAGACACGGCTGGTGTTGGAAGCATTCTTGCAAGGAGCATTAAATAGAGGAGAGGATGGGGCTCCAGGTCATGTGGGCCGTGGCTACCACGACCCCCAAAGTTACATGTCCAGGTAATGGCTTTGCAGTTGAAGATTCGGCTTACTTGCAAAGGAAGGAAATAAATAGAGCAGTATTTTTCAACCTTGGCAGCTTGACGATGTGTGGGCTTAATACTATATGGCTAGAGGTTTTTCCCTACCTCAAATATTTAACTTTCCTAGCTTCATTTTTTTAAAAATAATTTCCCCAACCTTTTATTATATGTGTTGTTCTGCTGCTCCTCACAAACAGTTTTATCACTTTCAGTTTCATGAAGTCAATTGGCTTGGCTGCTCTGAGATACCTCTTACGGAATGAGTGAAGAAATATGGGCAAATAAAAAATGACAAAAATCAACCAAGGAGGTTGGGGAATAGAACAACAGATCATGGTTCTCATTTTCAAGGTGCTTTCTTCTGTCCACAGGTCCCCTGTGGAATATTTTCCGGAGTGTCCTGCCTGCAGCCCTGCCCATGAGGGAAGTAACTGTGTGGAAGGGAAAAAACATAGCTTCCGCACTAGCATCAAACACCTATTGCAGAAGCGGTCCAGTTCTCGAGGGCCCTCAGACAATCTGCCCTCGCCTGGAGACTCATTAAAGAAATCTAAGGCAGGATCTGAGGGGACCCATCGCAAGCGCCATTTCTCCTTCAAGGGCCTCTTGAAGAAGAAGACTGCGACTGTTTCAGCAGAGATAACTGACCCCAATGCTCTCCCCAGGCGGCCTGACTCTTTGCCTCTCGTCACCTGCTATTGTAAAAAGCAGGCAGCTGAACCAGAAGAGGCCCAAACAACAGGCAGTACAAAGCTTTGCTACTTACTCTGTTTTCTCCTTGTTTCTTTATTGTGATGCTCAAGTCTCGCTTGGAAGGATGTTTATATAATCAAAAAGATAGGCAGACCTTCCTTTTCCATGCTACTCTAGTTCAGGAATTTAATTCTTACGTTATTGTAACAAGTAAATTCAAAACTGCTTGGAACATTTTGCCTCTGTAGCACCAACATGGTATCATCTTCAATATGTATTGTGACATTTGTTTAGTCACATATCTCATTGTTACTTGCATTTGCCTTTCTTCCAATTCTTTACATTTTCCTCAAAATCTCTTGCTTTCTGCACAGAATTCAAAATCTCTGATATTTAAAAATGAAAATCACCTCTTCCAAATTATCCCCTCTAAATGGAATTTTCTATTTAAGTTCATCAGAAAAAAATACTATTTTCTCTTACATAATTCTAATTCTAATTGGAATGACTTTAAGTACAATTATTTCTGTATTATCAGTTTTCAATCTAGGGTTACAATACTGTTACAAAACTTGCTCTCTAGTCTTCTTCCTGATAGCATACAGTGTTTCCCAAGTGTTATATAGTTATTTGACAAATAATCAAGTTACCATAACCTTAGCAGATGGCGATACTTAGCTGGTTTGGTTGATCTCAAAAAGCTAAGATAGGAGCAGACCTGCTTAGTTCTTGATAGTAGCCTATCAGGACATTTCAAGTAAAATAGGAAGTAAAAAACATCCCAGAAGAAAGCAATGTAAAAATACTTCCATATCGCTCTATCAAAACTATACAGACTTATTCAGGTATTACTATGAATTGGACTTGATTTGATAGAATCTGTAGTTTTATCATGTTAGTACAGTACTGTATTCACCTTTTAATGTTTTACTGTTCATCTTATTTCTGTAACTTCCTTAATAACAGGATTTGATTTTTTTTGCACCTTGCTTGAATAATTTTGCATTCTTTATTCCAGATGGTGAAGCTGAGGGTGCTGAGTTTTATACTTTGGTGGCTCAGAAACTAGATTACTTGGTGAAACACCAACAACGGGTCAGCCCTACAGCTGCAAAAAGCTCAGTTTCTCCCAAAGATCCAAAGATTACAATTCCCATAGACACAATCTCTGGCAATTCAGGTACTGCATTTTTTTTTCTTGTGTGTTTAAGCTGCCTCATCCAAAAACTCTGGGTTTATAAACAGTGATAACACAGAAATCCCTTCTTGATCTCTGAATCAGGTATCTCAGGTTTTTATGTACTGTATTGTCACCTTCCTGTTTTGATGAGACTTTAATTTTCAAAAATTCCAGCCAGCTTTTGGCCAACACATATGGAAAGCACCAGATTAGAGAAGTATGTTTTAGAGGAAGTACATGGTGGATCATATGGAAGGAAGGATGACTCTAAATTTAAAACAATCTCTCCACCTGAAAAATGAAGCTTAGATGAAACAATTTATCTCCTTTTACAACAATCTTACAAATTTAAACAGATTCCTGCATTTTAAATTAAACTATTAATTTAATTTAATTCAATTTATCTAAATTATTTGGGAGGGGAATAGTCTTCCTTTCAAGAATAGGTAGCCACAGGAGGATAGAGATCAAATGATGACAAGTACATCTTGGTGTTATCACAAAATGATATGAATAAAATATTTCCATCAGATCTTATGATGCATCTGACATAAAATTGTACTGGTATTTGTGCAATGACTTTGCAACACACATGCCATCACTTTGACATCAATGTGGCTTAAAACTGACGACCTTTCAGGGAAATATTGTTTATATTTTGGAATCACAATAATATGTTTTTCTCAGTTGCCTTGGAAAAAGGGCCAGAACAATTGGATGAGAAAGAGAAAGAACAAATCCTTCAGAGGTTGGTTGCCCTTCTGGAAGAGCAGGCTGCTATCTTCAATAAAAAGGTACATATGCAACAAAGAATTACCGCATAAAGTACTAACATTCAAACTGCAGAACCAGGCACTGGGTGTTTTGTGGCTGCTGTGTGGAATTTACCCTACGTAAGGTTGCTTTGCCAAAGATATTCATTCCTCCAGGGTTTTTTTACTGAATATGTTTTGTAAATCTTGGATTTTTTCCAAGTCTTCAAATAAGCCCTGTTGTCTATGATATTTCTGTTTTGACTGCATTTATTTTTATTATTTATTTATAAAATTTATAGCCTGCCTGTCTTATCTCAAAATAATTGGGCAACTTTTTGGGGTATAAGGTTCCGTACTCAAGTGTATACAAAGTTAACAAGTGTATACAAACTTGCACAGCTGAATCTCCCCACTTGCCTTTTTGTTTTGTGATCTATTGAATTTATTTTTAATTAGGTATGTGGAGTATTGCAGCTTAGGGCATTTCTTTTGGTAATATTTAGGCATTGGTTTCTTTTGGGGCTGTGTCTAAGAAGATTCTCAGTCTTCCAGGTCATAGTTACGGTATCCCAAAGATGCTTTTTCACAAGGCAACTGGACTTCCTTGTTTTTCTTTGAAGATGTTTCGTTTCTCATTCAAGAAGCTTCTTCAGCTCTGACTGGATGATGGGAAATGGAAAGATTTATACTCTTGCAGACAGATGTTCATTTTTATTATTTTAGCCAGTTGTTAAAGCTACCTGGAGGCTTATCTGTGTCTTCAGGGTCACCTGAGTAGTGCAAATGGATGTGGAGCCTTCTTGGAACTGTTGAAACGATTGTGTTGCAGACTGGAGATAGATGATGTTGGATCCCTCCCCTTCTGTTGAGAGAGGGCTGTTCAATTTTGACATAGATGGCCTCTTTGACCCCTCTTTCAAACCGAGGGATTGTGGAGCTCTGCACCCCACGGCTAGTTTCACCCTAGCCGTTTCACAAAATATAAATCTTTCCATTCCCCACCATCCAGTCAGAGTTGAAGAAGCTTCTTGGATGAGAAGCGAAACATCTTCAAAGAAAATCAGAAAAATCCAGTTGCCTTGTGAAAAAGCATCTTTGGGATTTTGGGGCTGTGCAATTATTCACATTTGACTTGGAAGAGATGTTTCAGAGTGAGTAGGAATCTGAATGCAGCATCTGTCTGCAACTCATTGGAACAATTGTAGAAACAGATACAGAGACTTTATTGAGTCTCAGACTTCATGCATTTCTACATGTTCCAAAGCATTGTTTTTTCTGAATCAAATTTGTAAAATCACAAACCCTTAATAGTTATTTAGGGATGATCCATTCTTAAAAGAGTACAGTTTACCATGGTTGCACTAAACAGATCATTTTTTCCTACCACTGTCTATCTGAATGTTAATCTGTTTTTTAAATTTTCCATTAACTAGTTGTACATAGCCATGCTAATTTACTTGTTCAATTAATATATTTTTCAGTGCTTTTCAAGATGGGAAAATAAAAAAAATAAAAATGCAATCAATTCAAGTCAGTTATAAAATGTATAGAAACAATTAAGAGAATTAGCAGAACATTACATGTAAAACTTTAAAAAGAAAAATAGCATTTGTGATAAAACAAAACAGCACCTATCATAAAAATCTTTCCATTAAAATAGTTTACTTCTTAGTCCAGAATGTCAGAGTACAGGACGACTTTGGTAATGTGTTGCCTTAGGGTAGGGGTGAGTTTGATATAACCTCTTTCTCAATCACTTGGAGGATCTGGTATTTATAAATAAAGTTTTACAGTATTTAATAAAATAATGTATGAACATATAACATGAGTATGAATGACTTCAATTTAAAGAAACAAAATATGCTTATTCCAACTTATTTGACTCTTTTTCATAATATTTATCAGTGCTTCTCTTCTTATACTGTAAAGTTCTCCTTTTAACTTTTTTCCCTCTTTGCTTTTGTTAAATGAGTTTTCTCCTGTCCGGCTGCCCACCCCTTACTGCTTCTCTCTTGTAGTTCATATAGCTCCCTGCCCTACTTGCTTAATAAAGAAATGCCCAGTTAATTTTACTTGCCTTAGACTCAAACCCCCGAAATTTAATATTCTTAATAATAACCAGCAAATAGGGCACTTAAACTGAAGTTCCACATTGTATAGGGTTTGTATTTTTCCAAGAGACTTTGTTTTATTTAACCTTTTCTCATCATTTTTAATAGTTGCATTATTTTGCACAAAGGACCATAGAGGCATCTGATTCATGATTCAGTATTGGTTTTTTAGACATTTTCTGTAGCTAATGTGAATCAAGAGTTGCAAATCCCGTAGGAATACCCCAGTGTTCAAAGCATTTAGGTAAAAAGTTACTAGAACTGAATTACATATGTAAAATAAAATATTTATATTTGTTGTGGCATTGATCAACTAGGTAATTGTGGAATCTTATGTTTTATTCATTTCACATACGCAATAAAAGTCTGTCTTCATATAAATAAAGATTCCCCAAACAGGTTGATTAATCTGGGGATGAAAAATTCATCCCAAAATGTGTATATATTACCTGAATTCTGTAACATTATAAAAGCAAAATATAATTGAAAATAGTAGGATTTATTGTATGCACACTATTCAAATTATTTTCCTTTCCACTGATATGCTGGTTTTTTATTGTGAAACCATATTTTCCTACTCTCCAAGAAAGGAAAAAGTCTATCAAACAAAGAAAGAAAAACGGCATTTTACTTCTGGACTAGATTGGATTTTTAAAATGATGACTCTTTGTTAAATACATATTGTTTAGCGAGTATGCTCTTGAGTTCCATATTCTGAGGAATAGCTTCCAAATGAAAGAAGAGTTGTAGTAGAATGTTCCTAAGAAAGTTGTCTAATCCTACCCAGGCACCTCAAACAGATAGCTGTCCAGCCTTTATTTTTTTTCACCTCTACCAAAGGTGACGCAAAGTCATAAGTCTCTGTTGCCACTAAGAAAATGATCCTATTGTTTGTCTGTTCTTTTGCCATTGACACTCATTCTATTCCTATTAGCAAAAGAAAATAAGTGTACTTCATCTTTGATGCAACAACATTTCTATTAGGTTTCCTCTCAGCCTTCCAACTCAAAAGTTCTTTATCGGGAGCACAGTGAATCATTTCTAATTGCAGTTGTCTCTTAAAAAGGTTCCTCTAATATTTGAACTCTTGACATTCATCTCATTTTCTTTCATTGGCAGATTGAAGCTGACCCACTGCTACGTAACACTATCTCCCGCCTCTCCTACCGCAGCTTTACTCACCTGGCTGAAGCCTTCACATCACGTACCCCAACTGGGGTTTCTAGCCCTCAGCTAGCCAAGCTAGCCCTTACCATGGAACTCACAAGGAAAGTGGCCGGCATTAACAGCCACGCAGTACATACCCTCATGGGCTATAGTTTGCAATATATGGATATGTTCATACCTTGGTTGCAGCAGCAAGGTGGCTGGGTATGTGGAGAAACGTGTTTCCCTGGATTTTACATGCTAGGCCAGATCACATTTAAAAGAGGAGCCCAAAAATGAAAAAGAAAAAAATACTGATATTTTGCTCAAAATATAATTAAGATGACTTGAGGTTCTAGTTAAATACTTTGGGGAAAAACAGTCATCTGTTCTGCAAATTGTCTGCTTTTGAGGGTTACAAAATTGGAATAAAACACTTATTTAGCTGAAGAGTTATACATTGTCTAAAAGCTGCAACTAAAAGCTTATAGAGTACCATAAGAGCATCTTAGTTCTATGCTAGAAAAGAACCTGTATTACATGTATAGTACTTGTGTTCTCTATCCCTGTATTATCAAGTACAATTGTGTTGCTGGATAGCAGCTGACAATTTATTTTTTCCTACAAAAAAGGAGAGAAGTTTCATTATTATATTTATATAATTATGAAGGGATATTTTCTTGTGGCTGAGGGACTACATTTTAATATTTCTGGTCTCCCAAGGGAATAACAGTGATGTAATTACATCACTGCAAATATACTGGGGCATTTTTTTGTCTTCTAAAACCAGAGGGTTTCCCATACTATATGTCACAATTCTGTCGTCAGAGTTGGAGCATGACACAATGGAAAAGGGAGGGAGGGAGGAAAGCAAGCAAGCAGGGCTTAATGGTGAAATGGAAATGGCTATTCTTTATAATAACATGTTTTTTTTTCTTTATAGGAGAACATTGTAGCCCAGGAGGAGATATTTGACTTGCAACTTGACTAAACAAACCCTTGTGCACCAGTGGCAATGCTCTTATGATGAATCATGTTTGCAAAAGACTGAGTGCTGGGTTGAACTGCTAGCACTTAAAGGCCTTTGTGACTTTCCACCTAGGCTAAATCTAAAGGGACTTTTTTTTAGTAGCCATGATTGGAGCTAATTCTGAGATATTAAGAATTAGCAGAAACCAACTCTAATCTTCGGTGCTCGGAGTGAATTGCAAAATTTGATCACAGTATGCCAAATTGTGTTGTCAAGTGTTCCTGCAGAAGTATGAAGTAGTTGCTTCCTCTAAAACCTGCCAGTTGTCAAAAATATTTCTGAAAGGGCGTTCTTCAGAGATACCTGCCATCAAAGGCAAGAAAAGTCATGCCCTTGGTGAGAACCTCTGTTCTTCAAGCCCTGAGCAACACTTGATTTTTTTTTCCACCCAAGATGAACTTTTCTTTCCTCAGATTTTATACTTGAGATTAAATAGATAACACTCAAATCTTATTTTATTCCTATTTTCCAATGGATAGATGAAATTTTCAGATGTGATATTGTCAATATTTATTGTCTATGCCTTTGTTCTGAATTTTTTGTTCTGAATTACTCTGAGAAATGTTGGAGGTTTTGAACAATAATTCCCGACTTGCAGGAAATTAATTTCAGTGGGACTATGATTTGTGTAAATATGGGGAGAAAACAAACTTAATATCAAACTCAGGGATATGGGAGTGTGTTTGTTTAACAGCAATGACTTCCCTGAAGCACTGTGATTTTTTTTAAATAAAAATTTAAAGATTCTTGTATTTTGTTGTCAAATACTTTTCCTAGCATCTGTTACTTTTCTTTGGGCAAGCCTATTCTTTTGATTTGATGACATAACCAATTCTCCTTTGGCTGTACTAATGTTCAACTGAAGTTTGGAAGTCCAAGCATAGCCTTAGTGCACCATATTGCAGAAGAAAAGTTAAACTGATATTATCTAATGATTTAAAACTCGGGAGATCTTTGAATATAAATGTACATTTATTCAGAACAAAGTGATATGTTCTGAAAGACGCCTGAATGATTCCCCCGAAATTCACCTTTCGGTGTATGATTGCCGCTTGCTCTGTTCCTCAACTGATCCAAGACGAGATAAGGAGCAATTCCATTTTTTCATTTCCCCCCCCTTCAGTACAAGCAGATCAGAAGGCGCTTAGAGCAACGTCATTGCCAGGGGCCCCGAGGACGAGCAGGAGGCGGGTTGAACGCAATCGTGTGTGCAAAGGACCAATGAAAGCGCTCAGGGTGCTTCCATAGAGAGGCGAGCTAGGGCGGTCGAAAAGCCACCCGGGAAGACCAAAGTGATCATAGAAGCTCGACTGCAAATTCATCAAGGCACTTCCTGTTTCCGTCTTTTGCTGCCGGACCTCCCGTGGCTTGGAGAAGGCGGAGCGGGCTGGAGCTTAGAAACGGCGCGAGAGGAGGGTTGCAGGAATAGCAGCATGGCAACGGCCGCGGTGAGCAACAGCCTCGTTTTCATTTTAGGAAGAGACTCGATTAACCCTCTTTCCTCCACACGAATACACTCCGGGTCTCTGGTCGTCATTGAGCTTCTGATGGGGGACCGAGGCCGGAGTAGCCCCCGTGGGATGCATTAATATTCCTCCTCATTCGCTCCCTTCTAGAAAACACTAGGCTTCTCCTGCCGGCTCTGCTTCAGATGCATTGGATTACAGCTCCCATCATTCACTGCCAGTCCACGTGAAACAGTAGTTCAGCTGGGAAGACAGCACTTTGGGGATTGGGATACATTTCCATATCGTGTGAATTGCATTTATGTATAACTTTCCTCCGAGAAGTTTACCTAGTTCTGTTTCACCACTTGCTAGTTTGTCCTTTAACTTCGCAAACTAGGCTGGGATTTCTGAAATAATACAGCAAGCTTTTTAGCGGTGCGCTGACTTCTGTTAATCTGATTTCGTTTTGAGGTCACAAAATGTTAACCAGGTTTTGAGACTTAACAATAGTCTTTGCACAATATGTATAGCTTGACTAAGGTTATCCTTATGAATTTCTGCAAGAGTTTAACAATGGTTTAATGTATAGATTCTGAAGAGACATTAATTCAATTACTTTTTAAGCATGTGTGAATGTAACCTATTGCCTTTTAGGATGGACCTCAACTCCCAGAATTCCCTTGTCTGCATACTGGCTGGGGAATTCTGAAAATCCACTCATCTTAAAGTCGTCAAGGTTAAGAAATACTGTTCTAGACTATATATCTACTGCACATTCTCACAACTTCCCTCTTATCCCCTTTTCTGAGTCAGTTATACCACTGCTGCTAGGAGAGAGTTGAGACAGTGTTAACTTGTCTCCCTGATTAGGATTTCTACTTCTCTGTTATCAGAATGGGAAAGTATCCCCCAGCAACATCCAAAGCAGTTTTTTGGTAGATACTTGAGAATTCTTTTTGCTCCACCAATTATGGGTCCTGTTAAACAACTGATATACAGTCTGACAATTTCAGGGGAGAAATTGGAATGCTATATAGTATATTGTCAGTTTGATGTAATGGTTAAGGCACAAGGCTAGAAATTGGAGGACTATAAGTTCTAGTCTTGCCTTATGTGCAAAATCAGCTAGGTGCTCTTGGCCAGTCACTCTCTTTCAGCCCTAGGAAGCAGGTAATGGCAAACCCACTTTTGTAATCTTGTCAAGAAAACTTACAAGGACTTGTTTAGGCACTTGCCAGGAGTCAAAAAGTGACTTGGGGAAAAAAATGTCATGTACCTTGCCAAATCACATTTTGAACTATTTAGGAGTAAGGAGTATTAATCTAGATTATCTCTGATACTAAACCACCATGATAATCTAAGCACATTGTTGTTTGCTCTGGCTGTCATGTTTACAAAGTCTTCAGCTTGTGTCCTTTCATTCAGTGACCATTTAAACTTATGGTAGTGCTGAAAGAAAAATGGATGTAGATCAGTCCTCAAAGTTCTGACCACTGAAGTACCCCTATGGTCATGTGATCACAGTCCAGGCACCTGTGTTCTCAGCTTGTGGCAGGAACATTGCAGGGACTTGGAATCATTGATCATAGTTTGCTATCTTCCCTTTGGGCTTCCCACAAGTAAAATCAGCGAGGAAGGTCAGAAATAATTTCTCGCTTTTTCTCCCTCTCACAGCACTTTCCTGTCCTTGTACAGCCTCTCCCAGCCCTCCCTTGGCCTCCTACAACTCAAGCAGAACCTGCGGTGGGCCTCCCCTGCCTTCTGTGACTTGTATGCAGCCTGCGCCAGCCCTCCCCAGTCTCCCCACTCACACTCCTTACCTGGAACTCATACCTCTTTCTGCTTAGTGATTCGTATATCTTGGGGTTAGGCGGTATCACCGAGCAATGCAGTCACATGATGTCACACTTACAACCACATTGCTTAGCAACACCAATTCCAGTCCCAATTGCCATCATAACCCAATGACTACCTATATGTGCATTCACTCAAATACAACATTTATACAAATGTATGCTATCATTCGTATAGCTACTGTACTGTATTCAGTTTTCCAGTCTGACCTCATTCACAGGACAATACTGTTTTCAACTGGTCTATCTCTCTCTGCCCATCTTTCTTTTTCCTCTTTTCTTTCCATGTTCCCATTACATTTTATTTTGTTCCATTCCATATATATCGATTTTTTTTTATCAAGTGGTTGATTAAGAATCATGTCTATACATATGTTAGGCACAAACAACCACATCCAGACATGTATACTTTAAGCTAACTAATTACATAATATTCTGTGTTTGGAGTGATGTGAGATGACAAGAGAGTTCACATTTGGAATTTCAATACTGTAGCTCATTTTGCATTTTGTGGTTTGGATGCTACACAGTTACAGTATACATTACCTGATATGAGGTGTTTCCAAATGAGATATCTGTTTTGAAAGAAATATAGAAAGCGATCTGTTCTATGTCTATTTAGCTGAAAAATTCAGACCAAAATGTGTTACTTATTTGAGATTTAGGACAGAAAACTTTTGATATATGAACATCATCTTCTCTCTTTTCTCAGGCTACGAAGGTTCCTGAAATCCGCGATGTTACCAGGATTGAACGTATTGGTATGTTTTCATTGCTGCCTCTTCCTAGGATGATTTCCAATTTTACCCCTATGGGGTAGTTTATTATTAAATCAATAATTATGGGACAAATCTAATAAATCAATGTGCTGCTGTCTATATCGAAATGGCTGCCAAATCAAAAGCTACTGTAGAGTTAGATGGCTTTGTAATTTTGATTCTCATGGTATACAGCAGGGCAGTTAATGCTGAATCTCAGGACAGATTCTTTTATTTGTGACTTCCAAATAAAATGGATAAAACATTATCTCCTTAATTTTGAGTAAGGAAAATTAAACATTTTAAATAGATTTTTAAATAGGCTTAATCTACTATCTGCAGAAATCACCTTCCTCCAAATTAAAAAAATATGACTTTAAAAAAAAACAACTTCCCAAACTGTCTCCACCTACCTACTTGTGGTTGCCTCATTAACTTTGCAACTGTGGAAATTGCCTTCCCCCCCCCCCCCAAAAAAAAAAAAAAAAATTAAGTAAAGCCTCCAGTCAGAAAACTGTCTGCTTCCAGTGTAAAATGTCACCAACCTCTTTTCAAATAATCTTTCATGTTCACAGGAGCCCATTCCCACATTCGAGGACTTGGCTTGGATGATACCTTGGAACCTAGACAGGTACTTGAAAAAAATAATTTCCAGAAAGTTTTTGGATTGATTGAAGTTGGGAGAAGAAGCAGTTTGTTCAAATGAGAGAGTAGAAGAATTGGTGCAATAATTGAGGAGAGAAGTTTAGTGTTTAAATTTAAACAGAGAGAAAAGAAAAATTATTAGTCAAATTATTCAATTAATTGGCTTCATCTGTGCTGATGGGTTTTTCAGATAAATGAATTTTATTATAAAAAAATTCTCTTTTAAAGATAAAAATATGTGAAACATATATATAACTGCTTATTCAGTTAAGAAAAAAGTTGGTAAGTTCTTCAGACCATTGTATTATACATATCCCATGATTGTTTGGGGGGTGGAGGCGAACTTGGTGTCATAACTTCAAATCTGAGTTGTAAGTATCTTTTAGGGGGTCTGTCATAACTTCAAATGGTCACTAAGTGACTGATCATAAGTCCAAAACTACCAATATTATGATCTCTGTGTGTGGAGTTTCACACACACACACACACACACACACACACACACACGGGTTTTTTTGTTTTGTTATCAAGATAAAGATTGGTCAACTTTGGATTAGTTTTTCTCTGGTCATTTTTATTTACAAGTACAATGTAAGTAACCTCACTACTATTTATTACTTGAATGTTTTCCAGAAAATTATTCATCTTAACTATCTCTTACTGTCATAGAAAATAAACAGGATAGATAAAGTTCTTGATTGTAATTTTGCAGTTTACAATACGATCAATATAGGGCTAAATCTGTAACCCATTACATGCAGCATTTGAATAATGTTAAATTATGTATTTTAGGAGAGATTAACAGGTTAAGTGTTAGAGTTTGGGAATGCAAATGTGAGAAATACGCTTTGTGAGGATTGAAATAAAGGAAAAATAATATCTCCCATGTGTCCATTTTTCTCCTTCCCCCCCCCCCTCCTGTTAGGTATCCCAGGGCATGGTAGGACAGTTGGCTGCTCGTCGAGCTGCTGGGGTGATTTTGGAGATGATAAAGGAAGGCAAAATTGCTGGT